GGTGTGATTTTTTCTTGTTTTTCTTAAAAAAAGGGGAATATGTTAACTCCTAATATTAAAAATGTTGCCAGCCTTTCATAGGATGCTTATTAGAGACATAGGCTTAATTATTTTGAGCTCCTGTACTCTCATTATGTTTAGTTTCCATTATCTTAAGAATGGATATATGGACAATGAGATGACACCAATAAAGTTCATTTTTTGGCGCATATACTTAATTTTGTTGATCCCCTTATTGATCTGTTCTCAATTTTAAGGGAGTATAACAATTAAGTACCAAAAGAAAAAAATTAATTACAATTATAGTCCTAATAATTTTTTTAAAAAATTAATTGTAAATTTAAAAATTTTAATTACAAATATGATATTTAAATTCTAAATATAACAATTAGTTTACAATTTAGATTCTTATTTATAACTCTTTGAATTGATATTTATAATTTATTTTATAATAAAATTTGTCGATGACTTAATTATCATCAATTCATCTTTTTAAATTTCATTGTCATGCTCTCTAATTTTGTTTGTTCTAAATATACTAGACAGTTTTTTTTTCTTCCTTCCTTTTTTAACGTCATATCTTGCTAGTCAATTTATTTTCACATAACCATATTTTTATCATGTTAGCTAAGAAGTTAGTAGGGTCACAGTGAAATTAAATACATCAGTATCAATATATAACTCATGATTTTTATGTATATTTTCAAAACAATGAGAAGAAGCATTGTAGATTGATTAAATTAAGGAGACTATAAACAACAAAATAAAACTAAAGGAATTACTAAAAATAAAACATAGCTAAAGTACGGACTCACTATTATATTTTCCAAGCAATAAACCTCATTACATTGGATTTCCACCAATTAATTCTTCTCTTTCAAAGTAACTTTAAATACCCGATGTGATCACTTGCCTTACTGTTGCATCTTTGATTTGAATTATTGATGTATGCTTTGTCCTTGCAAGTAGAGTTTTGAAGATGGTTGAATATCGGAAAGTAGTGATACTCTCAAAGGGATGAAATTTCTGTAATTTCTTTTTCTTTCTTCAGACTTGTGGTCTGTCTTTCCCGAGCAAAAAAAAAAAAAAAAAAAACATCATGGAGAGTTTAAAAACACGAAAACAATAAATTAAAAAGAAGTCAGCTTATCGCCCTAGTTATCTTGTGAGAAGAGATCTATTGCTGGTGCCTTGAAGACTTCCGCATTTGCACTAAACCGTAACTTGCAATTTTATCCAAAAAGCTATGCATAGTATATTTGATTATTCTATGGTTTAGGTGAGAATCGATATTATGATGAATACTTTAGTTCGAATAGATATGTAAATTTGTTAAATAGGATTAACTGATTCGATACTGCTAAAATTTAAATTTATTTCATATTTAAAAATTAGTTAAAATATATATAACTCCCCAGTTTCAATTCAATCACATATCACCACCTTGATCTTGTGTGTGTCTGTGTATATGAAGGCACGCTTCAGCAGGGATTATTCAGGAGAAGATCTGTGATTAACATAAAGTTTAGAGGGATTATATAAATTTGTAGTATCTAAATCTGAAATTAATGGTCTGTTTGGATGGGAGGAAAAAGTAAAAGTGAAAAAGAAAATGAGAGGGGAGATAATTTTTCTTTTGTTTGGATGTAGAGGGAAAATAGGAGGAAAGAAAAGCAAAGAGAAAAATGAGGAGTGAGACTCACGTATTTTCTCTCCAAATGTTTTCTCCGGAGAGATTTTAGGAAAGAAATTTATTAGCCATCCACTGTCCTTGTCTCTCTCAACTCACTCCAACGGGTTCTCAGTAGCCTTGAATATAAGATTCAACACTGACATTTCTTCCTCTCATCTCGTTGAATTATCTCTTCCTCTTGACATGGGTTTGCAAGAAGCATCAATTTCTACTAAATTATTTGAATTGCAAACGTCTATAGGGGTGGGTAATAATGCATCGTTTATTATTATTATTATTTATTTCAAGTTATAATATTCTATTTTTAAAAATAAAAATATTTTACATTTGATTTTTTTCTTTCAAGTTATAATATTCTATTTTTGAAAACAGAAACTATTTTAAATAAAGAATATTTTCAAAACTAAAGTGTATCATGACAGCAAATTCAGATTTCTACATCTAGATGTTCACAAATTCACAATTTTAAGTTTACATATTAATAAATAATTGTCCATTAATAATGAACTTAAAGTTTTTTTTTTTGCTCACCAAGGGCAATTGTGTCGTTTTTCCTTAAAACATATTTGCAAAATGGGCCCTTGTCTTGCAGAATAATTTTAGAATACAGTGGGTTCTAAGTGTATTTTTCTCCCCCTTGAGAGCCTAAATGAGATTCTCCCTTTATTTTAGTAATTCTGCTAATGAGCTTTTCATCATCCCTATAGATTGAATTGATACTAATGTTTTGGATTGGCATTGCTTTGTATGCATTTGGGTTAAATTGTTTATGAGAAGTTCTGGACTTCAATTTTCCCCCCTTTAATTACAAGCTTTTATTGGTTTATTACACCCCTTAACGATGTTGTTTCTTTCTCCGAACGTATATTGGGGTGTATTATTCTTATATTGTTTTTTTTTTCTTTTTTATATTCTTATCTATCAGTGTCTTTGCATAGAATGTGGCCAAGAGTTTGAGGAACTTTGCATATATACCGAATACAATGGCTGCTTCTCCAACAGTCCTATTCTTATCTATACATATATAAATTATTAAGTAATACATGTCTTGATGGAATTACAAAATTGTGATCATACAAGAAGTTTGGACGCCACCTTTTCTTGAGAAAAAATTCCATTCTATCTTTATTTAATATCTATACTGTTTTTCATCTTTTTATTATAGTTTTTATGTATTTAGGAACAATATTAGCTACTGCATGAGCCTTTTTTTTTTTTTTTTTGGTTTACTTTTCTTCCTCTTATTGGTTGCTGGTCCATCCTTCAGGAGAAGAAAGAGGGGAGACCATAGAGAAAACAAGAGTGGGTTTATTCCTAGGAAGCCACAGTAGAACTTTGTTTTAGCTGTTACTATTGCAACTTGTAATGGTTCAAATAAGTTCATCTCAAGTAGATGAGAGCTCACTGTACCTAGTGGATTCCCCCCCCCCCTCAATTGACAACATGTATGCTTAATCAAAATCTTATATGGTAGATATGGCTATCAAATGATGATAAATGTGTTAAATAACTTAAGTTAGTCGTTTCGGTTCTTCGTTTCGGTCATTATCAACTCATTACACAATTTCCGTATCTTGTAAGTAGTCCAGCGGCGGTTCTCATGGGACACTTCTGAGGGCATTGCGTTTATTGATTGCCATGGTCATGGGTTATTTCACATCAAATGGTAAAGATATATCAGACCATCAAAGTTTGAGACATATACAAAATGCCATTCAATTATGATACCAGCAATAAATTAGACTACTTACACAGTTACAGTCTTCACTGCGCGAAGATCACTGTTGAGGATTGTTAACTATGCTGCTGCAAAATGACCAAAGAAAATAATATAGATGCCATTAAGCTCACATTTCTGAGTTGTTGAGTTGATATATAAATTTAATCTACATCTCCAATGAAGTGCTGCTTATGTAGTCATATTCAACAGACACAAAATGACAAAATGATGCTCACAAATTTTGATTATAGTAGTGGTGGTGTGAGATGCGTTTCCTTGCTGATAGGGAATATGCAGGTGACTCTGTCCCTCGATGCTAATTTCATTTATGAGGTCATGCTTGAGTAGTTAGGAGATATTTCTGATGTTCTATCTGATTCTTCGATGTCCATGTGATTTTGCATGCCATTTCAAGGCATTCTTGTGCAAGATTTATACAGATAGATGGATTACCCGCCTCAAAAAAAAAATTTGAAGCATCCCTTTGATCAGAGTCCTATCTTATATCTTGTTATTTCTCTTCTGCATTTAGGTAAGGACAAAGCCAGGCTTATTCTGTAATCATATTTTTCTGGCTATATCGGCGCTTCTGCAGGTTTATTATTGGGATAACTCCACTTTGGTAAAAAACGACAAGAAAATTTCTATTTTCCCATTCTTCATATGCAAGTAGTTATTAACCACAGAAATTTGTCATGTATTTTGATAGGGTAAATAAGTTTGAGACTGAGGTTGATTCACTCTCACGTAGTCTTAAACAAGTTAATGTGTTCCATTACATTAAGAATTGGTGCACTCTTCACATTATGGGGAGCCCATATCAGTTCCCGCTACTATATGCTGAAGCATCAATGTGGAATTCCATGAATTTCATGGGGTGCGCAAAGGAACAGGCTTGATGATAATAGGCCCATTGCAAGTATTATTTTATGAAAAGTAAGTACCAAGGTATCACATTCTGACATTAATGGCGTGCAATGGCTGCTTCTATGAGGACGACCACCTTCCAAAGATTCCAGTGTCTTTTCCATGTTGTTTGGGCCCATGCTGTCTGGTAAGGAAGCTAAGGATGTTACTTGTTAAAGAGTGGCCACACACAAACACAGAACAATAGCTAAATAAATAAAACGCGGATTCCATTTGGAAACAAGGCTGACAGAAACGCAGAGCAGAGCACTTTAAGTGCTCTTATTTGGATGAGGATTGAGGACCGAAGATGGAGGTAATAGATTATTGAACTTCATCTTCAACCAGACCACAACCATTCATTCATGCCACGTGCCACACAGTAATTGCTTGTTACCCAAGGCTTTACCTAATCTCACCCTTTTTATGTTCATTTTTTTCCCCATTGCCTCATGTCCCATCATCATCATATGCTAGGTTGTCACACAGAGACAGCCAGAAAGAGTCATTCCAAAAGGCCTATTCTGTGTTCATCACAATGCAGAGCCAAAAAGAGTCCTCAAAGTGGGTGATGATTGAGGAAGATGAATGCTTTGCAGAAAGCAGCACCTCGTGCTTTCACAAAGCCATATAAAAGCATGATCAACGATATATAGTAGAATCCTAAATTTTACACCAAAATTAAAACAGCAACGAGTCTAATGAATCATATTACATTTGTAATATATAGGACCCTTGAACGATTTACAACCCTTCAACAAAATGGCTACACTTTCTACCATATTCACATTTAACTTCGCTTGTTCATCATTCTGCATCCATTATTACATAATTAAATTAAATGAATCAAAAGAAAACTACAAAAAGACACCCAAAGTGATTATATATAATCCTCGATACGTCGCTGTGGCCTGTGGGTGGCATGGAATTTCCAACTTTACCCTCTCCATTGGTTGCATTGAGCAGTAGGCCTCGTTATCTGTTTCCCAGACCTCAAGGGGCATGGCGTCTGTATAGGCGGGACCATGCAGTTGTACTGAAGACACAACGAGCTGCTCACAGGAATCTCAGCCGTTGGACTGATCTCAATGTCGGTCAGATAATTGTGCTGCAAATATAGTATCTGTATTCTGGCGGCCAATAGCTGGTCTACGAAGTTGCTCGGAACCCGACCCGTGAACCGGTTGTTGTTGAGGTATAGGTTTTCAACGGTCGAGAGCATGGATGATATCGGACCCGAAAACTCATTGTGACTGAGATCCACGGTTGGGATTGTGACTTGATTAACCGGTTGTACAGGACCGGTGAATTGGTTCCTTTCTAGTTGAAGATTGGTAAGTGGAAATGAAAAGATGCGAGCCGGAATTATGCCTGTGAACCGGTTCAGGCTGAGGTCCATGTAGTTCAATTGGTTCATCCGGTTCAAGAGCCGATCCACTGGGCCACTGAGATTGTTCCAGGACAGAGAGAGGTATTGGAGTGAGGGAGGGAGAGAATTGGGAGCGAGCGAACCCGTGAGAGAGTTGTGCTTCAGGTCAAGTCGAGTGAGGGTGGGTGAGGCAAACGAGGGGACTGACCCGGAGAGGTGGTTGTGGCAGAGGATCAAGTTGTTTAGCTCCGGCAAGGCTCCGACGGATGGAGGAATGCGTCCTGTGAGCTGATTGTAGCTGAGATCGAGGGTTCTGAGATTGCGCAATCTTCCCAAGTGCTCTGGAATCTCGCCGGAGATGAAGTTCCGGCTGACGCCAAGGAATCTGAGGTTCTTCAAATTCGAGAATGACTGAGGCATAGAACCGTATATTCTACCAGGCACAACCGTGAACTCGGTAAGAGCAGAGAGCTTGCCGATCGCCGGGTCGAGCCTGCCTGTCAGACCAGGAGAACCAGCTCTGGAGTCGCCGAGATTGAGGGCGACAACCTTCTCGGAATCACAGTAAACACCAGCAAAATTACACGGGTCGGCAGTGAAATCCCAGGAGGCAAAGAAATTCGATCCCGGCATATCCTTGAGAGACTTGCGAACCGATTGCAGGGCCAGGAAATCAAGAGGGTCCAACATGGCAAGCACACGGAAATGACAATGTATCTGCGCCAAACACATGAAAACCAGAATAAAGGAAACAACGCTGCATCCCGGCTCCCTCGGCCGCGCCATGAGAGGCGAAGCTAAAAGTGTTGGCAAATACGGTAATGAGGGTGAGAAGAGAAAGCGGAAGTCTATGATGGCTGAAGGAATAGCGATGGCGTCAAGCAGTGAAAGTCAGAGATTTTATAGGGAGGAAGAGGGTGAGAAGTTAGAGGCTTAGAAGAGAAGCGAATGATGAGAGGGGAGCACTGAGCCGAGCTTTCAATGGGGCCTTCTTTATTCTTGGCTTCTCAGAGAAGATGATGCTATGCACACCATGCGGTGAGTACAACCAGAAGCCGAAGTCATGCTATCAGCAAGGCAATTATCATCATCATTATTTTAATAAACAAATATCCTTTTGCTCTGCATTGTCGCAGCCCTTGAGGTTCGGGTCAAACGGCTGTCCGAGCCTACGTGGAAGACCAGGTGAGGCTGAGGTGTGGAAGGTGAGAACACGCGGGCGTTGGGTTCTTAGAGAAATTAAACCAGATCATTTGTGATCTATGTAACAAATTTTTTTTAAGTGATATTAAATATAAATTAATTATAATATAGAAATAAAATGTAATAAATTAAATGTATATTTTTTTATAAAAATAAAATTAAATTGAAAAATATCACAAAAAATTTTACTTAAATTATTTAAAATATGTTAATTAGATAGATTATAAAAGACGTGGCACACACGATTTATTTAAATATTTTTTTGAATTTTCATTGGTCTGGCCAGGAAACAGAAAAGTGGGGAATGGGTTTGGGTGCTCATCATTGTGATAAAATTTGGACCATTTAGATTTTGATATTGATGGTTCAGATTTAAAACATTATGATATGTTATACTTATTAAACTAAAAATATATAAAAATTATAAAACAATTTGAATAATTTTTTATTTTTAATGTGGTGTAGATTTAATTTAAAAGGTTCAATTTAATATTAAAATTTTTATAAATAATATATATTGACTATTCAGATGTACTCTTCATAAATTAGATTAACATCAAATTAAATTTGAATTGTGCTGAGTATATTTAGATAGTTAATATATAATAATTGTAAAATTTTTAAATTAAATTAAACCCTCTAAATTAAATTTATATCATATTAAAAATAAAAAATTATCAAAATTATTTTATAATTTTTATAAAATTTTATTTTAATAAAAATAAAAATAAAAATATATAATAATTTTTTAAATTTAAATAGTCCAGATTTGGTGCTCATCACAGCAAAACAAACCCAACCCGAAAAGAGGAGGCAGCTGTAAAATGGAAGGCACGCGAAAGCGACACGTGTGAGGGATGAAATGATACGACAGCACTGGCACAAGGGAAAAGGGATGGGGGCACGCACGTACAGACGGACACGGTGGCTGAGAAGTAAAGAAAGCGATGTGAATGACAAGGCTGCTTAGTTGCTAAACGCAACAATTATGGGCACCGATGGTCCTGACATGAAATGGAGTCTTTAATGAAAGGAGCATCGATAAGATATGATATGAAGATGATAGTTGCGTTATTATGATGATTGTTACAAGTAATTGCCTCTGACGAGTGAAGCTAACACCTACTAAAAAGTTACTTCTTCATCTGTTCCCTGTTTTCCCATTAAAATCCAGCACCCATCGTAACTACTACTGATACTCACTGCCCTTTTCCTTGTCTCTTGAGGGAAACAAGCCAGCACACGTAAAACTGGATGAATATATAGCATACAAGCTCTGTAAAAGATTGCATTATTATTCCCAAATCATGAATGTACAGTACTACGGTGAGTGGTTTGTCAAAATCTTGGGTGGAAAAGGCTTTACCACAGTAAAAAAAAAAAAAGAGAGACAGTGGGAGTGGTGTACAGTGGAGGAAGCGTTGTGAGGGCAGGTGGATAATTAAGAAGTAGGCAGAGGACAGCAGGCAGAGGGAAGAGAACAGCAACAACAAACCATTATATGAAACAAGGGAGGCACCATTTAAGTTGATGGGATGCTGCAAATTCATGAATGTATAGAAGAATGAGTAATTTGAGTTAGTTCACGCAGAAAGCAAATGACATCCATGCAGAATGGGGATGCCATTACTTAGAAGGCGAGGCAGTAACTCACAAACCACACAAATGGGCCCTCCTCTTCTTAAAGGATTGGATGCACATGTGAGGCAACCACACCAACCTTTCCATCCAACTCTCGTCCTTTTCAAGTTCTACGAGGTGTGACTATGACATTTACTCCGACATTTCTTCCTTTCTTTTTGAGAAATTTAATTCCATGTGAATTTAGGGGTTTGAGTTGTGAGTCCCCTGATTCCTACAATTCTGGTAATGATGTATCCATGGAACCCCATCATCTCAAGAGAAGCTATCTTCTCCAACATCTCCTACATTCCTCGCATGACTCAAGTCTTCCTTATTCCCATTTTGTTAACTCCTTTTATCCCGTTGATGTACGAAAATGACAGAAATAAAACGAGAGAGAATGACACCTGTGTCATATTATTTTGCAAAAACTTGCCATTGCCGTGGTGCTATTCGATGCTGTAACAAAGTTTTTAGCACTCGAAGACCTAAAGGGAAACTGTAGGCATCAGGAATTACATATTGAGATAATCCTAGTGACAAAAGCTGTGTGAAAGACTGGATAAAATTGAAATCTGGCCTAACTTAAAACTTGATTGATTTAGTTGTAACCTAAAAATTAATAAAATCGGACTTGGTTCATAGAAAGTCCAACACTCATTTGGCTCTTTTATTTTTTTTTCTTATGTAAGAGGTAACAATTCATTTCATTATAATAAACTCAATTAAGATAATAACTTCAATTACAATTCGCATAATTTAAATTCATATATTCGACAGCAATAGTAGCAACAGCATTTAACAAACTTCAACAACTTATCTAATATACATTACAACAACAATTTAGTAGCAAAATAAATTAAAATTATAATAAATGGAATGATGAAATGTGAATGAATAAAATGTTATATTCAAGCTTTAAACTATTTAAATATATTAAAAATAATTTAAACTATAATAAAATAATTTTATAAGACTAAACCGGATCAAGTGGTCTGAGGGTTTGGTCTCCTCTCTTGTCCATCCCAAGAAGTTAGTTTGATATTTTTAGTCTCTTTAATCTTTTGGATTAATTTTTTTGTTGGACTGGATAGGATGAGACTTGTTCAGGGTGGACAGGATAACCAAACTTTTGTACAGCTCTACCTGAGACTATGTAACTAAAGATGAAGTGAGTGTTTGGTTTTTTAGTTTACATCTGGCAAAAGCATATTTGAAAATCCAATTATTTGTTGGATTTGACAAAAGCACATCTCAAATATAGTTTAAATGTATTTTTGACAGTTATCAATCGGTGTCTTAACTTGGTGAATCCATTCATGCAATTGAATTGCATTCCAATTGAATTGAAAGTTTTACAACCCCTTTTTTTTTTATTTCGGTGGGGTAATAGTTAAACGTGCCTTATAATAGAGATCAAATGAAGTATATTAGATATACAAACAACAAGAATCTCATTATTATGATATTGATTCAACTAGAAAGTTAGCTATTTATTAAAATTCCAATCTAAATGAGAATCAGTTCTAATGATCAAAGAGCCACCAAACCAACGTGCTCGGGCAAAAGGACAGGATACAAAGAGATGTTCTAAAGATTCAAAATTATCATAGCAAGACCGACAAACTTCCACCCTCCTTTAAATTAATCTATTTCAGATTAGCAGAAGTTGGGAGCTTGATTCTGGCGATTTTTCACAAGAAAATTTGTACCCTTGATTGAATGTTCAAAAACCAAATGTTGGACCAATTAAAAGATTTCATACTAGAAGATGATGGATGTATTTTGGGGTAAAAGAATACCATAAGCATCGTGGACGAGATACTGACTTCAAAAATTCTTTGCCCATTTTGTTGCTCCTAGACATTCATGTATTTATACGCATTTCCCATAACATTATAATTGGATACGCAGTAAATTTGGTTAGCACGTATTTTTAAAATTAAATAGGGGTAGATTTTGAAGTATATTGAATTAAATCTATAAATATTTTATACCTATTTAATTTATTTTATATATTTTTCTCCCTGAATTTAATTGTCAGACAAAAAAATAAAATTTGGATAGAAAATGTATTTATATTTTCTCTCCCTTTTGCATGAAGGAAAAAAAATAAATAAAAAAAAAGAAAAGAAAGAAGGAAAAATAAATAGCAAAGAATGGACCCCACATGAGACATTGGAGGAAGTAGTTTTAGTGTTTTCCACGGCGTAGGCGGGGAACGTGCGAGCAGATATATACTAAAAAGAAACATCATTTATGGGGGCCCCAGTAATTGCCTGATACTGAGTCGAGTGCTGTTCTACGCCAATGCCAAACTTGGATCAGTGCCAAATTCAACCAGAAATTCCAATCTTCTACTGCAAGCTGAGAAATTCTTATCCTTTACTCTTGATATTGTTTAATATCTTTGTAGATAGATTCTCACAATAATTGATTGATTGCATTCTACATTAACTGCATATACATATCAATGACATATTTTAAATATAAATTCACATTTTACATGTTATCATTAATCATATAGAGTCTTGCATTGGTTAAACATCCTTTAAGCCCTATTTGCATACTTATCATGATTTGAGATATAATTCCAAATGCATAAATGTTAATGTTGTAGTTTATAAATGTATACAATAGGATTCAAAGGATGTTCAACTAGTACAATAATCTATATGATCAATGAAGCAAATAAGGTTCATTTGGCTGGTGAAAGCTTAATTACTCAGTAGAAGGATATCTATGATGAATTTCAAATCCAAATATCTGCCATGAATCCTCACACGATGACACATACCTATAATCATAATTCTGCTTGATCTTATCAATAATTTGCGGCCCATTTTCACTTTAGAGCTAATAACTATCTTTTATTCTAGCAGTGTCTCTTATTGAGTTTTCAAAGTTTATATAAAGCCGAGTGCCACTTCCCAGTAGTTTTACCATATATAAGGAGAGCACGCTAAAAGTGATTAAATAAAGTTTTATTAACAAAAAAAGTGAGTGGGTAAAAAACAAGGAAGGGTAGAAAGAAAGAGACTCAGTCACACTGTTTCAAAGGAGAGAAGAATAAAAGATAGGAAAAAAAAAATGTACACACACTCTCCCTCTCCTCTAGTCCTTATTATAGGGCAAAAAAAAAATTAATTTTATTTACAGGGCAGAGAGAAGAAAAAAATTTAATCCTATTTATAAAGCGCTTGTCAATTTTTAATACTCCTCTTTATATTTTTGCCCTTATTAAATGTTTTGAATTAAAATATTAGTAATAAAATTTAAGAATATTTATTAAACATAAAGATAAAAATTTGTTAAATTTTAAATAAAGTTAATGAAATATAATTTTTTTTATTTTGATAAAACATGATGAAAATAACTTATAAACAGGCTAAAGAAAATATAGAAACATACATACATGCATAAATACATACATATGTTAGGAAGTCCCCTATCACTTAATAGACGAGATGCCCAATCACTTAACAGAACTATCAGCGGACAAAGAAAAGAAAATGAAGAAACTTGTTATTTTTAGGTTTAACTAGATTAGATTGATTCTGGGCAGATTTTGCTCTGATGTGAGCTAGATTGCATTTACAGGATCCTAGGAAGATGGTGTTAGAAATCATCACTAAGTCAAGACCCAATTATTATTATTATTATTATTATTATTATGGTAAAATAAACAACAACTTGCTAACTTGGAGAGCAAGACAACGCATTTCTTGGTCTCCAAGTTCAACCAAAAAAAAAAAAAAGCTTCCAAGAAAGAGGGATGTTCCTTCCTGTCCAATAGCCTCCTCCTATAAATAAGTCATGCAGTTGCTCATTTAGACCATCAAAGGGTGAGTGCACTCGAGTGAGAAAAACGTTGTCTGGTGGGGGGAGAGCCTATAAGAGAGTTGAAAAATCAAAATTAAATCAGAGTAGTAAACTAATATTTTTTTTAAATCCAAATTCTCTCTTGCTTCTTCATGTGTCTCGACGCTCGTCTCTTTTCTCTCTCAGAAAATTAATAGATGGAATGGAGGCATCTAGAGGGACATACAACAGCATAACAACGTCTCATTAATTAATAACCTCACCATATAAATTTTGATCAAATTGACGGGGGATACAGGAACTTGAAAAATATATTCCCATGACCCTCTCTATTTAGGTCATTAGTTTCTTAAGTTATACAGCAACTTTGTTCAGTCTAAAATTTTTAACAGTCACAAACATGTCATTGTCCAATGCTCAGCTTCAATCAAATATTCATGCAAGGGTTCAAAATTCAAGCAAATAAACACAATGAGTGAAATATATGGTAACAGTAAACAACAGGATAGGATTAGGACCTCTATATAAATAATCCTGTTTCACTTGGGTTTTATTCACATCAGCACCATCCCCTCCATACAGTCATTCAGAATCTGCACGTCGATCAACTTTATAACACTTTAAAAACTCCTACAAATCACCTGTACTACCAAAAGCTTTTGTCTTTAGCCCTCATTCTCACTTTCCATCTTACTCCAGTGAGGGGATTTTACCACCAGCAGAACGGAGCTCTTGTTCCAGCTGCATTGATTCAATACAATGAACGATGCTATCAACTATTAGTTCAGAAACAAAGTAGCAATTACAGATTCTCTCTCTCTCTCTCTCTCTTTCTCTGAGCTCTGAACAAGTTACACTTACCCTGAACAAGTACATAAGCTTGCCCTTTAGCGAATTGTATTCATTTTGCAACTGTTGCAACAATCTCCAACACCTGCACCGACATTTTTTTTTTTGAAGCTTTAGCACAAACACAGAATCTTCTGGATCAATAACATGTACATATGAATTAAACAAGTGCTGATGGAGAAGCATGCCATTAACAAATTATCAACTAGCTGAGTGCATTGGCTGATTCCTAGTGAGTTTTATGAAAAATTAATGAATATTTACATTCACTTGAGTCTCCGGCAACCAATTTATATCTTCCAAAAATTAAGAGACATCAAAACTGAAATAACCACAAGCCTGGAAACTGCATAATGTGGATCCTCTAGAGTTAAAAGGTCTTCGAGGTAAGTAAGAAAGCGACACAGATGGAGAGTATGGAATCCATTTTTCCTTTTCCAACTACTTCCTCTGTTTTCTATATCTTCAAAAGGACTTTATAAGCTTCTAACTTCAGAGGATGCAAATCTTTTATTGAAGGGTATTGCCAGCTATTCGATCTTTCCTAACACATTTGACTGACTAATATTGATTTCATTGAAAATTCCACTAAAAAGGGGCGGCCCAGGGAAAAATTGTTATGGTGAGACTAAAAAAATATGAGATTAGCATCACCGTGATTAAATAAACTTTGGAGTTTGTTTGTGAGAGGTGGGAAACAATTCATGAGAAAAGAATAAAAATATAATGATACAAAATCATATTATTTTTCTTGAAATGCAACACTAATAGCAAAGAAACATGAGAATATGCCTACCTTCAATCAACTAAACCCAATCTCTAAATATGGAGAGAAACTAATTAAAAAGGAAAGTTAAAACATAACTTTTAGTCATAGCATCTTGATCTTGAAGCTAAAAATCAGCATCCTCATAGAATCAGAGTAAAGATCTCCCTTTTATTTGAAAAATGTTAGGAGTAAAGAACTCTATAAATCAATGAAAATTTTCATATTTTGTCTTCATAATGCTTTCTGAATAGCTCTTGAAGTTTCAGAAGTTACAGGTATAGACTATCCGTGACTTCTGCACCTTACAAAGCAGCTTTTGTTGTCAACCAATGACCAAAAAGAATTTAATCTCCAGAAGTCCAAGCAATAACAAAAGGCTTAGTCCAAATAATTAACAAACTCACCCCTCATGGTCCTGATTCTCGCAACAATTCCTGAACTTCATACAGATATTTTTAATCCTTGCAGCTCCAACACTGTTAAAGGCCATATATATTAATTAGTATCACAATCATAGACTTGAGGTTAAAAACAAAAATAAAAAGCTCGAGTGCTCTCTCACTAGAGTACTTGGACTTGGACTTCGGTTCTAACAAGACCTGAGCCAATATTCTTAGCTTTACCATATGTAATTGGTTTCTTTTGAGAACTGGTCACTGGTCCTGTTTTGAGTTGGTTTGCTGGTTTTTGACTGGTTATGCCTGTCTTTCACCCGTTTTTTATTTGTTCACTTGGAGTCATTTTTCAGACCGAACTAATTACTGGCTCGCCACTATAATTGAATAGTTAGGTCTGATGTTGAAAACCAAAGAATCTTTTCCCAGCATAAGAAAACTACAATACAGCTCTTGTGAATGAAATAACAGGTAATCAAATGTATACCTGGCACTACTTCCCTTGTATTGATGAACATAAGCATCTACTTGTTTGAAATCAACAGGTGCTTGAGTTCTATAATTGAAAGTGTGAAACAGAACCCAGTCAATATTTTGCTTACATGGAATGAATAAAGCAGTCCCAGAAAGTGGATCCTATATGAAGAAAGGAGAGAAAATTCTTACAGAATCTTTTTCATGTTGTCAATGAGTTTTTCAGAATCATCAAAGTACATCGTCACGACCTCTTTCACAAAATCAGGACTACTGTCATCTTGCAGCCTTTGAAGCTGTGTGAACTGATCGTCGATGAATCCCTTCTCATATTTAACAAGAGAACCCACCCACGTTCAGAATCAAGCCCAACAAACCAAAATTAACAAGAAATTCTTTTGAATTAATAATAATAAGGATCATATACTACAGGTCTAGTTAAAGAATCGAATTCTGGTCAGATGCTTCTTGAAAACACACAATTACAAAGGGCAAAATAAATATCCTCCAATCAAGTAGTTATGACAGATGGAGATAAATCGGCGAATCTTTTCCTTCAACACAGAGAGAGATTTTTGGAATGGAAAAGAAAAAAGAACAGTGTATCAGTGTCAATATAATCTTCACGTCGAGCACAGGGAAGAAGAAACGTAGAGCAGAACTTGAAGATTACAGAGATTCTATTGAAAAGACAAGAGTTGACCATAGTCTTGAAAAGACAAGAAATTGAAAAGAGAGAAACCGACCTCCTGATGCATTGAAGCTTGAAGTTCGCGCAGCTGCCCCTGCAGCTGACGAACATCCATGGTCAATCCCTCTCGTTGCAGAATGGCAGATCTCATGGCCTCTCAGGAGAAATAAAGGTTTAAAGGTTGGATTTTGACTTCAAATCGAGAGTGGCTAAACAGAAACAAACCCCCCCCTTCCCCCTCTCTCTCTAAAACGAGCCTGCCCTGCTGGTAAAAACCGCTGACACGCCGTTTCTCTCTCTGTCTCTCTGTCCCTATATATATATATATATATATATATTTATAGATAGAGTAGTGAGAGCGTGGTAAAGAAAGAGGAGACCTTCTTGCCTTTAAAAGGCGGAACCTTTTTTATTTTTTTTTTTAATTTTTGAGATTAGTGATTTAATGGAGGGAAGAGGGAAAGGCGGTTGAAGGGCTACCAGACATGACGAATTTCCTCGCGTAATTGAAGACTTACTGCTTCAGGTTATGTCTCTCCGTTAATGCAACCAGACGTTACCTGCAAAACAAAAAGGCCTCATCTGTTTTTTCCCATTCAAGAAACCTTATAAATGATAACAACATAATAGTATACAAACCCAATAAAACCAAAACATAAATACAGATTCCTGAACGTCTAGTGTCTAGATTTTGAAAAGAAAAAAAAAATACTAATAGAAGGATGCCTGTTTAAGGTACTACCATCATTTATCTAAATTTAAACAAAAAGGAGGGTAATATAGGTAAAGCATTGATTTTGTTGGTCCAAAAAACTGATTTGGGTGGAGTTGTCGGTTTAATTGATCCATTATCGAATAAAATCTGGAGGGACCAGTCGTAGGAGACAGCTAGGGAGCCACATGTGTTTGTCGACTCGCAAACGGCTTTTGGCCACAGCCACTAGTCAAACTACTCATTCTCCTATCCTCTCTTCTCTCCACGCTTTTGTGACACCTAGAATTTTGGGCTTATGTTGTTCCAAAATGTTTGTTCTTTTTTGGTGCTTACGTCACTAGTGGAAATATACACATGCTCAGATTTACTGGTAATTAGGGGTGTTTGAGAGGGGTGTTTAAGGGACAGAATTGAAACACCTTAATCCTGTGTTTTATTTCAAAAAATGATAGAGATTTAAATTTCATTCCATATCTCGTCCTAGACTAGAATGTCTCGATAGTTGTTTTAATCAATCTTACTTATATTTTTGGATTATGAAGCTATAATTTCAATTTCAAGATCTCATATTGCTTCAACGTTTTTTCAAAATTGTGTGTGTGGTGGCCCTTTTTTTTCATAATGTGAATTAAGTTTTAGTGAAATAGGCAACAACAATCATATACAAATGAAACAAGTGTATAAACTTAAATTAAGCCATAAACTCAGAATAGTCATAATCTCATTTAAAATTTGGGTTATAAACTCAAGTTATAATTGGCAACAACAACCAGGCATAATCTCTAAAAATAAACCCATTAGATTTACTTGAGTGGCAGCAATCTAGGTTTGCATTTGGATAGTGAGGTTAAGTATTATAAAAGTAAAAAAAAAATATTAAACAAAAAATATAAACAAATAAACAATAAAAATAATAATATATATATATATATATATATATATTGAGATAGGATAGGATATCTTAAAGATGATCTTAAGTTCCATCCTCAAAAGTCATGTCTTATTTTTTTTGAGTCAGGGCAAACCCATTTCAATATGGCGGGGACTTTTGATCACCCTTATGCTAATATATGGTTTTTCTGCTGCAAAAACAAATTTTTTTTTCCCGGAAGGGTTATGCCATGTCGTTCCAAAATGTTTATTCTTGTTTAGAGGTAACCTCACTAGTGGAAAGACACGTGCTTCGATTTTCATGGTGATGTGTGATCTGTCTGATGCAGAAAGAAAAGCTTTGAGTTTGTTTTTTTTTTAAACATTATCATTGAATGGCTAACATAACCCTCTTAATTTATAATTAATTGCATTTCCTTAATGGTGTCGTTGATTGTAAGTTTCTATTCATGAATAGAGTAATGTTCGTGGAATTCTCGATCGTTTGAAAAACGTGGCAAGTAACGTCCTCCACGGCAATTAAGATGGGCGTTGACTAGACTTTGCCTGAACAATTGAAATGTCTGCATTTGTACACATTTTTGTTTATATCTTTCTCTCATAGGTCGAGGAAATGAAACTGGACCGCATTCAGAATTCATGCGCAAATGCAATCAAATGTTCTCTCAATTCAAAATATAAAGTATTTTTAATTAAATTATATTTTAATAAAATAATTAATTATTTTTAAATTAATATTATTTTTTTATGGCTACCTTATTTAATAAAATATTTTATTTTAAAATAAATACAAAATAATTTATTGATTTAGTATAGAAACTTAAAAAAAACCACATTAATTATACTTTAAAATATTAAAAATACCTTACATTTTTTAATATACAAACCCTTAAAAAAATACCTTACATTTTCTTAATGGAAGAAGTACTGTTTGTTTAAATATAAATCAAGTAATTTAATAAGTTAAATTCCTGTAATGAAAGTATTCGCATTGAATTAGCATATGTTAAAAAAGAGAAAAATGCAACTGATTCACCAGAACAATCAATATTCATTTAACATAACATATATATATATATATATATATAAGTTATCAAAATTTTATAATTCACTGATAATAAATGGTTAACTATTTTTTTAAACTAATTATAATGTATAAAGAAACGTTTTTTCAATTGTTGGAGGATAATAGCAATCCTGTGCATTCTATTTTTCCTTACAATAGTTACATCACGGGGGAAAATATAGTCACACGCACACACTCAAGTGGCTTTAAGAGTTTTTTGATAAATAAGAATACAAGTCCAGTTCCACATTTTGAACTCCAATACAATTAAAGAGAAAAGACATTAAAAGGGCTAAAACACAAACTATAATTCCTTTCAAGTCGCCTCTCGTATTGTCTGGGGATTTTAATTTCACCTCGTTCCTCCATCCTAAGACTCCCAATTTGAAGGGACAAAAAATTAAAATTTTTGGGATGAGCGACAAAAAAAAGGTTTTTCTTAGAGCCCCTCCTTTGCAATTTTATATTATCTTTCAAAAAAAATTACCAAGAAAAAATTTACCCCAAAATAGACTATTATATTTCTTGCCACTAGTCGAAATTCCAAACATGGCCTAAGACTTGTAAATTGTAATGAGGGAGTGAATTCTACAATCTATGTCTCTCCATTCCTTGACTGCCTGACAAAACAACGCTTTGCCTGAAGCATCTAATCAAATGCATACCAACGCAATGAATAATAGGGAGAAGAAGGCATCCATGAAGGCAATGATAATTGATCCCTTACAACTTCATGTTGCCCCCAACTCCTAGCCAATTTCAATAATAATTGTATCTTAAAAAAATTTACACAACGTGGAGGGAACTCCATGCCGTTTCTATGTACAGGCAATCTAAGGTAGAATGATCTGCTGAGGAATGCACCCCCAAGATACATTCACTCAGCTTTCCAAACGGACCTGATAGCATAGCAACCAAACCAGCTAAACATGAATATTTGAATCCCCATCTACAGAATGTACAAGGGTGAGACACACACACACAGGGGGGGAGAGAGAGAGAGGGAGGGAGAACACAGAATTGAGCAACAAATAAACCTTAATTGCAGCCATATGCCATTTCTTATTCACAACATGCAAATTGCTTTTACATTTTCCTCATTGAAGTCTCCATCATAATAGAGCGAGCATGATGACTTCGTTGATGCCATAAACAACTACTCTCAAATGTAAAGATCAACCTAAAATAGGATTAAATTCATTAGTCCATTAATGTAAAAGCAACATAACGAGTTATAGAATGCATGCAATTGCAGATGCAGCCCCAGTTTTTACCTTCCTCGGAAAAGGCAAATATGCCACCAAACATTTCTCCATCTCCTTCATCCTCCCCTGGTTGCTCCCTTTCATGTTGGCCGCTGCTGCTATCAACATCATCGGTTCCAACTTCAGTCAATGAGTCACTTCCATGATGCTCCAGTGTCTTGCAATGGTCATCCTGGAAAGATTGACCCACTACTGTATCATGCATTATTGATGGCACCTCCTGAAGCTTTCCAGTGGGAGCATCTTGGTCTGGTACTGGCATTGAATCATCATCGATCCCAACACCTGCACCATCTTGCGTTCCAGGTGTTACCCCATTCTCCTGAAATAGTAAACCACTTTGGATGCTACGGTCAGCACGCACATCAACATGCTTCGAATCTCCAGAAAGGAAAGACAGATTTTCTGACAAGATATGGTTCTGCAGGGAAGGCTCAACGATGATTGCCCCCATCCGTTCCAAGTAGATCTCATTAAACATCTGACAACTAGATGCAACTTGATCCAGTTCAAGAAAATTTTCAGTTCTTCTTGATGAACCTAAAGGTAAAAGTACAACACCATCACAATGAGATAATAAAAAAACTATAAAAATACTTAGAGCAGGATTTAGAAGTAAAACAGATTTGCATAATATTGGGGAAGGATTTTCTACATGCAGCAATGCTAAAACATTACCAAAATGCAATAATTTGTGACAGGCATCGATATTCTTCCACTGAGTCTCTTGACAGGCCCTCAATGGTTGTTTCCCTTTTTCTCCACACAATTTATGAAACTAAAAATAGTTGGCTAAGCATCTTTATGTCGAATAATATCTTACCCCCATCAGAGCTTTCAGTAGAACTGAGTGACGCTGGCTTTGAGTGACAAATGACTGTCACATCAGCAGTTGTCTTGTCTTCTGCCTGATGAGAAACTGAAGATGAAGAACTTGAAGATCTTTCCCCAGTAAAACCTCTGAGAAAACAATAAAATGTTACATAAATAGAATCGGTGGATAATATATGCATTGTGCAAGACATTGCATCGAAGTGACTAAGGTAACCCAAACCAACAAATCTCATTGTGAGCAGCAGATGCTCAAAACACGTGACCTTAAAAACCTTGCAACATTTGATAAAACTGATTTTATCCTTAAGGACTGAATGCAGAATTGCATTGCACACTTTGATACTAACATTCAATGTAGGAAAAGAGGAAACACTTGATAATTTCTCTCCCTCAAGGGAGAGACCCACGGAGCATGTAGTCAAGGCCAACAACCTTTATAATATCAGAATCACATAAAATTTATATACCCATACAAAATATTGATAAATATTAGGTGGTCCCAAGGTAGCTAAACAAGTGAAAGCAA